GAGGTTATATCCCTGGAGTCGGGGTGTAATTCGATTTGATGAAAACCTGACATAAGGTCTAGGCATGAAAAATATTTTGCTCTTCCAAGTTGATCTGAAATATCGTCAATTCTTGGAAGTGGGAATTTGTCTGCTTCTAGCTTTTTATTTACCTTTCTGTAGTCTACCACTAATCTCCATCTTTTTTCTGTTTTACCTGGGAGTAATTTTTTAGGGACTAATAAGATTGGGCTATTATATTCCGATATGGAGGGTTCTATTATGTCATCTTCGATTAACTTATTTACTTGTTTGCTTATTTCTCCTTTTTGCGTTTGAGGCAATCTATAATTTTTTATGTAAACAGGAGTGTCATCCTTCATGTATAATTTTTGTTTGTAGAAATTATTAGAGGAAATTGGTTCTGTTTCTAGTGCAAATATGTCTATGAATTCTGTGCATAGTGTTGTTAGTTGAGAGTTGACAAATTGTGGAAAGTTTTTTGTTAATCTTTTTAATTTCTCTGTATCATTGCAATTTTTATCGTGTGTGGTTGTTTTAATTAGTGTGTAATCGTCTAAATTTTCGGTATTGATCTTGTAATTTTGAATAGTTGTGTTTTTATGTGTTGTGTTGATAATTCTAACAAAAGTTTGATCTTTATTTGTGATAGTGTTTGCTATGAAAATGCCTTCAGATAATTGTTGGTGTGGTATGAAGATGTTTTTGTTATCGGTGTTTACTTTGACTTGTCTAATGACTTCAGATCTAGCAGGGATAGTAAGTGTGTTGACAGACAGACAATTTGTTAGGTGCATTGTTATTGTTTGGGGGAAATCATATGGCCTTAGGATTAATTTATCCTCTGTTTTGCCATAATCTAAAATACAATTGTATTTCTTTATGAAATCTAGTCCTATTATTCCATCGCATGGGATTGGAAAGTCGTCTTCTACGACATGGAATTTATGGTAAATTAGAAGGTCATCACCTTTTAAATCCGCTTTAATTGTGCCTAATGTGCTAGTTATTCCTTGACCAATGCCCTTTAAATCTGTAATTTGTTCTTTATTAATTTTGTGAGTTTTACTAATTTGATGCATTTTTATAATGGAAATGTCTGCTCCCGTATCAATTAAAAAATTTGAAATCGAATTATTTAGGGATGTCCTTGTGGATATATAGCTGTTTAGATTTAGGTTCAGTACACATATTTTTCTTTCTATTAATTTTGAAGTGGAGCTTCCTGGTTTTCCGTCTGGGTGCAGCTGCGCACATTGCGGGTCTGGTTGTAGGATCTATTGCCGTTTTGGGCTTGTGATCCTCTTCGGTTATTATTATTATTGCTGTACGACCTCGAGTTATTGTTGTATCTCGGTTGTGGTCTGAATCTCCGATTTTGGTAATTTCCATAGTTGTTACTTCGGTATCCTCCCCGGAAATTGTTCCTGTACTGACTCTGTTGTCGTACGTTCAAAATTGTATTCGAGCTGCCTGTTATTTCGGTACAGCTGTTGGTGAACTTAGAGATCGCATCGTTCATTGTTGTGAACGTTCCCGCTTGCATTATCATTTTAACATTATTGTTGGAGCTGTTTTTACACATTGCCTTGACGGCTGCCTGTGTAGAATATCTCGTTGCTAAGTCTGGGTTTAATCCATCCGAGATATATGCTCCTTCTAGTGATCTGGTAATTTTTTCTATTTCCGCTGTGTATTGGTTAGCAGTTTTACTACGTTGTTGAACGTTTAGAAGTTAAGCGGTTAAAACCTCTACCGATTCACCTTTTATCGCGTTTTTGAGTTTTGTTTTTATTTGTCCAATCGTGTTTTCATTACTGATGAAGTTTCTTGCCGTTCCTTTTAGCTTGGTCTTTATCATTGTTATTGCTAAAAGTTCGTGCTCATCCTTGATTTGATCAAGTATGTCGAGGGCATCTAAGAAGCTGTGTAAGTTTTCTGGCTTCCCATCAAACTCTGGGAGTACTGACGAGGCGGTTTTAATGAATTCGACTACTGTTTGTACCATTGTGACGTTTATGGTTGGGATGTTTACTTTTTTGGTGTCTTCCCCTTGACTTAAAGAGGGTGATGGAGTCCGGCTTCGGACGCGTTCTGACAGAAGTAAGTTAAAATCAACCTGGAGATTCTCCTCTAATGTGGTTGGTATGGTTACTTCTATATTGTGTCTAGCTAACGAAGATACAAGTTTATCTCGTACTGCAATGAAAAATTGGTAAGCTTCCTTTTGGTGTTCTGTGGTAAGTATGCGATTTGCTACATTGATCACCTGTCTAATGTTATTAAGGGCTTCCAAGATTATGTTCAAATGTTTTACTATAGTTTCCGTTGTTATAGGAATACTCTTATTTATACATTTGTATGATTTACTAGCTTTAGTTTTTTCGTCAGTTAATGTGTCATGGATTTCTTTCCATTGATTCATTTCTGGTATAAAACTTTTGGCATTTTTGAAAGTTGTTTCTTTTTATTGAGAGAGTTATACGCGTTGTTGTACATTGTTTAATTGTCTCAATTTGTTTTTAATGTAATTTTTTATCAAGATTACCATTGCGACAATTAAACATGTAGCTACGCATGCAAAAGCGGTCAACCACTTATCGGGAACTTCTTCCTTGTTTTCTACGATAGGATGTGGTTGATATTTAATTACTTTAGTTTCGTAGGTGTTTTCACCTGAGGTTTCTTTTCCTACTTCGTATCCTGCTATTCCTATTAATATGCCGTTTAGTGCAATTTTCCACCAAGTCATTTTTATGTTAATAATATTTTACGGTTGAAAAAAAAAAATGAATGAGAAAAACAATTTTCCTTTTTATTATTAGTTCTTGTTTTTTAATTTAATAAGAAAAATTTTTTTGTATTTTTATTAGTTATAGCTGTCTTATTTGTGCTAACATTCTCCTTGTTTCTTCTTCCCTAGTTTTTGGATTTATGACGTCTACTAAGGTGGTTTCCCTGTTCATACTATAAATTTCCTAATGATCCTTTTGGTGGTTCTGCGTTGTTGTTGTTGCTGGGTTCCACCCATTTTTGTGCAGATCTTTTAGTTTGGTTATCAACTTCTTCTTTTGTTGCCCGCGACTGATGTTAATTATTCGCTGTAGTTCTGCACATTCTTTTTGGTGCCTTCGCTTTCTACCTCCACGTTTTTTGGGTTTATGTTCGCAGCTTATTCGTTGCCTAAATTCTTGTAAGTTGGCTTTTTGGCGGTTTTTCCTTTGCCGGTATTCCTCTAGGGATATTGGTTTGGGTCCTATTACAATTTTTGTAGGGATGTATTTGGGGTATTCTTCTGCGTTTTTCGATCCTTCCGGAACGTATTCCTCTACCATAATGTACTGGCAGGGTCTTGATAGAGTTGGCAGGGTCTAGATTTGGGTTGGTAGGATCTAGATTTGAGCTGGCAGGATCTAGCTTGAGCTGGCAGGATCTAGCTTGAGCTGGCAGGATCGCCATGTAAAGATTGGAAGGAGTTTAGTATTGTCTTAGCTCTACAGCCGCATTTAGGTGAGCATTAAAATGCCCCACACTGATTCCAAAAGTAAAACGCAAGTAAAAACGTTGAGTCTTAAAGTGGGAATGTTTTATTCGGCTCATCGCCGTTCTTTTATATGCTTACAATCTACCTTATGAGTAATCTAATTTACAAACTTACATTTCTAAGTTGTTAGTCATGCTTATGATTCTACGTTGTTGTGCATGCATACATAAATGTATATGGGTTCAATCGAGTTTATGTTATTGGAGAAGTGCAGCGCAAGCTAAATTGATTTGAGTACTTTGGCCTAGTTATTGCCAAAAGTATATTGAACTTTTTACTTAATATTGTGTGAACATTTTGTTTTGCTTAGCTGTCATGCTACACGATAAGACTTTGTAACCTATGCTTAGAAGGCTGATCCCGGGGTAGTTGTCGCGAATGGCGGGGTCACCTTTCTTGTGGATTGGGCAGAACACACTTAAATTCCAGTCGTCGGGCATGCGTTCATCTGACCATATTCTGACCAAGACTTGATACATGCACCTTATCAACTCCTCGCCACCGTACTTGAATAGCTCAGCTGACAGGCTGTCAGCTCCAGCAGCATTGTGGTTTTTCAGCCACGTTATTGCTATTCGTACCTCGTCATAATCAGGCTGTGGAACGTCGACTCCGTCATCATCGACTGCGGACTCGGGTACTTCTTCTTCCCTCCATAATTTAAGTACGCTCTGAACATCGGTTACTAGGTCGCCATTGTCGTTCTTACAGTAGTAAGCCCTGGTCTTGAAACCTTCCGTAAGTCGCCTAACTCTTTGGTAAAATTTTCGGGCATTTCAAGCTCTTCGCACTCACGTATTTCGGCCTCTCTCTACTTATTGCGGCAAATACGTCTCGCTTCCCCCTTCAGATCCCTACAGCGGTCCCACATAGCGCGCGTTGCGCCCGATCGCAGCGTGGCTCTGTAGGCGGCATCTTTTTTCTCTACAGCTTCCTGACACTCCTATTTTTTTCACTAATTTCGTAAAAAATTATCTTCAGAAACGACAAGTGAAGAAACGGAAAAAATGTAATGTCTGAGTCTGCTTTGAAAACTTCAATGGGACTATATTTTAGTCCTGTTTATCTCAACGATATAAAGCCGTAGAAAAAGGCTAAGCCTATCGTATCCGGCACAGATATTAGTATGTATAAAAATACAAATAGTTTTTTAGATTTTTCGTAGAACTTTGTATATATTTGCTTTGTTTCTAATGGGTTATTCGTTTGTTGTATGATCAAGTATTTATATATTGTTTGTTTTATTACAGGTCTGCTGCAAGATGTTCAGCAAGCAAGTTATACGATTTATGTTGGTGCTTATATTTATGTGCCAAAAACGAGGATCCCAGTTACAATATGGATATTGTCACCTCCTTCCATTTGTTGCTTTGTTGTATCGACCTCATATACATAAATGTACTAGCAGAGAACAGAGTGGACCTTATCAACCAGGGGTTCGAAGGCATACCAGAAAATTGGGGTACTACAGCATTCAATTCAAAACAGCTTTCTGACTATTGCATTATTGGACCTCTGTGCACACTAACAGGAGCTTTACCTAACGATGCTAGAGACATGAAAGCAAATCACTGTAAAAACATTTTTACGAAGTTTTTCCAAACAAAGGTATTTGCAGCTAATGATAATTTGATTTTATAATACAAATATTGAAGTATTAGCTTAAAACTTAGCTTTGCCACTGCACATTAGGTCAAATGATTAATTTGGCTGTGCGAAAGTCCATTTTCATAAGGACAGTTTCACATTATTTTTTGTTGTAATTCTGTAAGGAATACTCCAAAATAACAGAACTTTACTTAGTTTTTGTAAAATAAAAAACACCGTTAGACAACAATAAACCAAAGCTACACTTTCAAAACGTTATGGACACTTTGTTTGCGCAACCGGTTTAATGAAAAGAAAATTTTAAATGGAAAACAAAACTAGAAGTGAGAACTTATGTCGCAATTTAAAAAAGTGACTTTTTATCATTTGTTTGCAAAAAAAAAAACACCTATTTGCATAACCTCAAGATTTATTTCTGATTTATTTCCATTTGTGTTTTTATGTAAGCTTTTAAAATTTTTTTAACTCTCGGAAAACAAAATGGAAACGGAAATAGAAAAATTAAGATTAAGATGAGTTGATTTTATTTTACTTAACCCGCCGTTTTTAGCCGTTTTCAAGAAAAACGGGTTTTTCTGGGCTATCATGCTATTACAAAAGGCGGGTTGTTTGAGATTTGGCTGATTAGATGTTCGAAAAAATAAAAGCTTTTTTGGTTGCCAACCATGTTGAAAAAAAATTGTTGCTGCTAATATTTGCGAAAGTTCCATGAAACAGTAAGAAAAAAAACGCGTATTTTTTGCAATTACATATTTATCAAAGAAAGATGAAAATTATTGAAAACAATTCGAAAAGGATGCTATAATATTTAGATCTGAAAACACATCGTTTCTTGCTGATGAACTTGTTTTCGAAATCAAAAAGTCAGCTGTGTCGACCACCAGCCGGCTTCTATCTTTCGCTATCGCTATTTTCCGAATTTTTAGCTATCTCCAAAAATTGCAGTTCTTTCCTCATTTTCGCTGAAAATAGCTTAGCCTAGATTTTTTGGTGATAAATAATCCATTTTAATGGTGAGAAATAGTGAAAATTGAAGTATGTGATAGCAAAAAAATAGCAGCCTCAATTTGGATTACATTTCATCTCCTGTAGCGCAGCCGTGGCTATGTTACAAATACTACACTTGCGCCGATTCGCAAATATTATTGATGAGCAGCCTTCGCAAAAAGGCAAATCCTTAAGAGAATTTATGGATTGATATTTCGAAATTTTTTCTCAAAGTGAATAGAGCTTTGAACATTCCATTCACTTATTAGTTTCAAAAACATTCGTACTCTATTTTGGTAAATGTGTCACAAAGCAGCATTTGCATTCTGAATATAAATAATATCGGTGGAGAATTTGGAAATACTGAAACCTCAATTGAAAATGAAGTGTTTTATGAAGACTAACTGCTTTAGGAATCTCTCCTCAAGACATATCTGCGAGACATGTAGTAAATATTTTTCTATTTTTCTTTTCTTTAATTAAGGAAATTCGATAATGTCATAAATAATCGCTAGAAGAAACCATTTATGTACATGTGACTATACTTATTTTATTATGTAGCTCATTATAAGGGGGAGGGGGTTGAGTATGGTAAGAAAATAACTTGTGTCAAAACCTAGCTAATTGGAGAATGTTTTTTAGTACTACTTAAACACATATACATACTCATCATTTGAACATACAAAAGAGCAGAAAAGTGTGTTTTACGAAAGACAAGTCATGTTTTCATATTTTATTTACTGCCTTTACTCTTTTTTTAACGTTTGCCATCTTTTAAACTTTTAAAATAATGCAATAGTTTAGCTGCTATTAATTTCCCACAGAAAAAGTAATCATTTGACCTATTGTGCACTGTCTTGAACTCTTCTTCATAAATTGGTATAGCTGAAGCGGAGGTTTTAATTTATGTGCTAACTTTGGGTACTAGTACCTGACCACTTTTAGTTCATACACTATTGTAATTATTTTCTGCATAGTTTTGTTTATACAAATTCTGGCTGTGTGCGATATTATTTCTTCTTTTGTGTAAAATAATGGCCTCAGACTCAATAAAATTGTTGAATACTACTGCGATAACATATAAAAAAATAAAATAAAATAATTTGCAATTTTTAGTTAATACAATTAGGATTACTACCTAGCAAACACTGCTAGAGAAATAGTTAGATTTTACAATAGAATTCTAATGTAGTTCTCAAATCGAAAATCAGGTTAGAGAACTGTTTTAGAATTCAATTAGAGAATGATTAGAAAAACAATAGACATTAGAAACCAATTAGAATTGAACGTTAGAATATGATTAGATATCGGTATTGAGAACTAATTCCTCTTTTTGTAGAGAATGTTACAATTCTCGACACTCCCCGTAACCGTCTTCTACCTTACAGAAATACATTAGAACTGGAATCGTTTCCCAATCGTTCTCTAACCTAAATGTTTATTGGGTACTTTGTGCTCAGTGACGGGTTTACACATTTGCCGCTGGTAGGATATTTAAATTTTGCCTGCCGCCCTCTACAATGCGACACCCAGTTCACAATTATACATACATACTAATTAAATTTGTTTGTCAATGAATGGTAGTAAATACATGTATGTAATTATGAACTAGGCGATCGGTGTATCAGTTCCTAGATTATTTTTGCAACCCATCAATTTAATTTAATATAATAAAATATGAATAACATACATATGTACTACTAATAAGGCGGGGTTGGGTATGCCGTAATACTGCCTACAACACTCATGAACAGCTGAGTATCATATAAATGCTCATATTATCATTATCAAAGTCCTCATTTTTGTTCAGGCCATGGGAAAAAATTTAGTACTCGCATGTTGTCATCAGAAAGTCCTCAGTACTAATAGTCAAACTACTCATTTATGCTATACTACAAAAACAAAAGTGTAAATGTGTTAGAATTTTTGCCTAAAGTGCTCAGCAATGTCTTTTAGGGTAATTTCCAAACAAAGTATATTATTTTCAGATTGATAAATTTATCCTCCGAAATCGTTTACTGACGTCAAACTTTGTGCAGAATACGAAACTGCTTTCAGGCTCTTCAAAAAATTATTATTTTTTCCATCTTTTTGCATTTTTGTTAAATATTTTCCAGAATGTCACTTTTTTAAAAGTTAACTGAAGGAATAAATAAGTTTAGAAACCGTTAGAAAAAAGTATAATAACCAATAAGAATTATACCGATTTTTAACAATACTCATTGAAGTTTTTTCCACCACCTTGTGACATTATGGAAATATTTCACATTTTTTATTTATTTTTTTATGAGTCTTTTCAATCGCTGAAACTCCTTAAGCAAAAAAACTAGGTGACATTCCGGAAATATTTAGCTTTACTTACCATGGAGCAATGATAAATTCACTAGGTTTACATATAAGTAGATTATCCTCATTTTCGAGCTTAACTCCCTTATCTGTAATTAGAAACAGGGATTAGCATTAAAAAATTCGTGCCTTGTTAAACTGTGTATAAAATAATCTCAGATTAAGCTTAAATATATTTAAATTGCTTAATGTAGCAGAAAAAAGTGGTTACGGTAGCAAAGAGAAGAAACATAACTTTTCCTTGAGACGTGAGAATAACAAGCACACAAAATTTGACGACCAATAATCTTGATTTGCCTGTGTAAACGGGGTGATTACAAAACTAGCTTTGGTTGAGATTGTATTTATATGTGACCATACTTTTAAAAACACAAAATAATTGCCTTTATTAAGTTTTCTATATATATAATACGCGAAGGGATTTTTTTGTCCAGGACATAAGATCTGCATAGATGTGCAAACACGTTTTATTGTTTCGAAAAAAGTTGCCACCTGTCAAACAATTAAATTGAAATTATTTAATAATCAATGCCGTCATATCCGCACCGTTCTTTAGATTTTCCAAAATGAGGTGTCGAATTAAAAGGCTTGGACTGCAGATGTGCAATAAGGTTTTAATTTTTTGAAAAGAGTTGCCACAATTTAAAACAAATCAATTAATTAATAAAACAAATCAATTATTACAAAATAGATATCAATTGAAATGGTTTTGAAAAGCTTGGTTTTTTAACTTAACAATAATCAAATTCAATTCGATTTAAGGAATTAAGTAAAAGAAATATTTATGTATCATCATCTGCCAAACGAAATGGTTTTAAGGTAGTAAGTTGAAAGTATTTTTAAGAGGCTTGCCACCTGCTTGAAATGTTGAACTTAGATAATATCAAAATATGAATGTCAAACGAAAGAGTGATAAGAAATATTTAGTTTGAACACTAAGAATATTTTTGAGTCGTTGAAAGAAGGTTGCCACCTGTACAAAAAGTTAAACTCAAATTATTCAATAAGTTCAATGAATTTTTAAAATAAGGGTATCAATCGAAAGGGGTTTGCAAAATCTTTATTACTGAACTACATTTAGCGGGGTTTCCACATGTTTAAAAAATCAAATTCAACTTAATTCATCAGTTAATTAAAACAGGTATCGCAATGTGAGACGAAGTAACTATCCTACAAGGTTTTAGCTAGGAAATACTTTTAAAGAGGGCTGCCACCTGTTTGAAAGGTCTAATTTAATTAACTAATACCAAAATTATATGAAATATAAAAACACCGGAGTTCATTCAGAAAGGATTGAATCAATTCAAAAACAATTCTTGCTTTTTGCATTGCGTAATTTTAACTGGGATTCAGATTACAATCTCCCCCCTTACACAAGTCGTCTAAAGCTCATAAATTTGCCTACACTCGCAAGTCGTAGAGAAATGCTGGGTATAATATTTATCGTAAAATTAATGACAGGCTTGATTAATAGCCCGGCCCTCCTGGCTGAGGTAAATTTTAATGTTCCTTCTCGAGTGTCAAGACACTTTCGACCTCTATTTTTAAAGCCATGCAAAACTAATTTTGAACTAAACGAATCATTCCGTGGTTTATGTCAAGATTTTAACTGTCATTCCAGCACGTTTGACGTATCGGACTCGATTTTTACTATAAAGAAAACTATT